ACATGACTTCCTCTCCCAAATCTAGGTCAGTGCCCTCTGAAATATACCCCACCCCCCAAAAAAAGCTAAATTGGAGCAATATTAATCAATTCTTTTTTTTTTTAATTATAAGCAAATCAGGTCTGGAAAGAAAGCAGAAAAACATTATAAATATATCAACCTGTTGTTGTTTTTCCAGTACTGTCTCTGTCTGACTCTAAGTAAATAATATCTCCAAAAGATGGTTATGGTATTTATTTATTTAGTATATAAAATACATAATGAGCTGCTACATGTTCGTGTATAATGAATATCATCCGCATTCTTGATGTACGACATTATGTAGTTTACGACCTCATTTAGGTATAATTTAACTAGGATATTTTAATAAATGTTATTAAAATTTTTCATATTCGTCACTTTATGCTGTTTTGCACACATGGAATTGGCAATAAAATGTCAAATAAACAGAGTATCAAAATAATGTATTTTTTCATGGGTTGCTATTTGAACTCAAGTCCGTTGATTGTTTACATTGAGATATAAATATTTATTAGATAAAGAATTCTTCGTTTATCTACAATGGATGTAACTTTGTTTGTTATCTTTCTCAGCTTTTCAAGACATAGTTCTTTTCTCTTACAGAAAATGAGGGTCAAAACACGTCTTGTATCTTGTAATGAAGTAAATCCGAGAAAATAAATAATCAAACTTTGTTTTAGTCCTGGATTCTCCATTCAATTGGAATTACACGATCTATCTAAAATAAAAAAAAAAATGACTTTGTACAGTATTTCTGACATTATCTTTCGTATACTTTTTTTAATTTAAATGCATCTAGAGAATTGAGTAAGCATTAAAAATGAGTCAAATTGATGTTGTTATTTATGATAACTTACTTACAAAATGGTTCTCGGATCACCATGGGAATTCAAATGAAGGTGCCTGAAATGATGGAATACGGCCATTAGCAAAAGCCGTGTCTGGGACGTCTACGTCAAACACTTCATCCATGTACTCCCTGTAGGCTTTCTCCCTCATTCGGCGTAAAGCCTCTTCTTGTTTCTTGTTCCTCTGGGTCTGTTGCTTTTTCTGAGAGTGCTTGGGTGCTTTCATTTGTTTTCTGTTTCGTTGAGGTGGAGGTGTCAAATTGTGACGTCTTTGTTGTTTTTGTTGTTGTCTTTGAGTATTTGGAAGACGCATCGGTGCAGGTGGATGAGTTCTTTTTGTTGTTGTTACTGGTTGAGGGGCACGAGGAGCATTATTATTATTTGCATTCATGGCGTGAGAAACTAGCCACGTTGCAATCATTCGGTACACATTTTTCAGTTGTGGGTTATTGTTTGGCAATCCGGGGTAAGGAGGCATGGATGGAAGAGGAAATGGAAGTGCTTGTTGGGTTGGAGAAGGACCATTTTGTCCACTGAAAAAGTTAAACAAGCTCTGCTGTACGGGAGGTGGTGGAGCCGGAGTGGTTGGAGCAGGCGTTGATGACGTCATTGGTTTGAAACCAAAGAAATTAACATTCCCTAGTCTTGGTTTAGATGGAGCATTCTTAAATGATTGTATTGAGTTCTTCCTAGAAAATGTCTGTGTAGGTGGCTGATACTGCTGCACTGGAGTGTTGGATTGTTTCTTTTGCGGTTGTCCTTCTGGAAACAGACTGTATGGTGAAGCTTTCACATTTTTCTTTGGAATTTGATTCGGAATTGATGGGGGACTTTGGATGATTGTTTTTGGTTCTTGAACTGGTTTTAGAGGCTTGGGGGGTAAAACTATTTCTGCAGGATTATTTTGTTGAGAGGCTTTTTCTTTCCCAAGTTCAATTGTTGCAACAGCTTCAATGGATGGGGATAATGATGCAGCAGGATCTTTTTTTGTCGATTTCTCGACAATGCTGTTAGTTTTTGGCTTCGGAGGCTCAAAAACAGGTAGCAGAGCTGTAAACTTCTTTGACTTTGATTTGCTTTTTTGTGCTTCTGTGTAATTTACCAAGAGTAGACCAAGTAAGAAAAGTAGACAAAATCTCGGCATAGTCATGACTGATCTAGGAAACGGCTGCCTGTAAAGGAAATATAAAATAAAACATGATTCTTCAAGGTTACTTTCTTATCTAGTAAGTTCACGAAAGAAAAGGTAATTACGATAGGTAATTGAATTATTGAAAATTTATTGGTGTTTCAATTTGCAAGGTTAATTATGATCGTCAGCGATTTGTTTCCTTGTTCCTAGTGTGTAGTGTCACGAAGAACCTTTGGAGACAACTTTATGTCTATTTATCACGTAACTGCAAAACGTTCATTTTTACTTTTACTGGCTGCAGGTAATTAATTTACTGACAGATCTGTTGAATTAATTTAAGTCTGACACCGTCAATATGTGGTAGTGCGAATAATTCATTAAAAACCTATCAATAATTACATTTTTTATGTTTCAAGAATTAATTTGAAGTGAAGTCACGCACAGATGATTCATGAAACTTGAATAATTACATTTCTAGTCAAAACAACATGCTATAAAATGAAATATATCGTTGAAACTGCTGTTCAATTTTACTTTTACCTGATATTTCTCGATCTTCTCCAATATGCAAACTTTTTTTTAAAGCCAATACACTTAAGCAATAAATGTGAAAATTAGGCTTTTTTAATATACTGCTAATATACTGATAATGAAAAAATATGGAAAACAACCTGATTTTTCCAATAAAAATTCAAGAATGGAATGGTGAAAAGAAGGAGCCTATAAATTATCAGATGTATTATAAGGTTGTCGAAGAAGTTTCTCTTGTCGTTCAGGCATCCTTCCCCTTGAATATCGAAAAATGGGAATTTCCGAGTTCCAGTGCAAATAAAATGGAAAACTGTAAAGTATGGTGTCTAAATGTATGGTCTTAAATTTATCTTTGTAATGGTTGCAAAATGTTTTTGTTTTTTTTACGTTATACGTTTTCAGAAATCGATTTTGCAAAAAAGTTGCTTTACGTTTTCTGAAAAGTTTGGAGGTTTTTTTTTAAATATCTGCTGTTGATTAACAACACATTCGAATTTTTTAAAGTATACATGTTATATGAGCACATACAACATAAATATATGAGAATGAGGGATGGTAAGAACGCCTTCATTTCCCATGCATTGTTTTATGTAGTTTAAGAAGTTAACATTTTTTCTAAATGCATCAAACTGAATTAAGTATATGCCATATACTATACATTATGGTATTTTTGCTGACGTCTTTTTGTGAGGAAAATTAAGCCTCATATTGTTCATAATATTTATTTACTTAGACTTAAATCTGGAAAATAGAAATCAAATTCTAATGATTTTGTTTGTCAGCTCAGGATACCGACCTCATTATCAAGGTCAATATAGATATGATATCAATAGTGGAGTAATTGACCTTCTATCAACTAGAATAGTAACAGATAGCAACATCAGTGATAACCGAATTTACATGCTAAAGTTACTTTATCCATGCCTCTTTCTTTTCTCTTCAAACAACATTAAAGATAAGAGAGGAGAAACTGATGCAGCATTGTTTTTTTAAAAAAAAAAAGCATATTAGAATCTCTTTAAAATAAGTTTTTGAAATTCCGAAAAACTTTGGTTAGAAAATTTGAAATCCCACGAATTTAATCAATAGTATCCACACATACACAAGCAATTCTACGTGATTAATTAATAAAAGGCCATTTGACATCAAAGAAACTTTTTTTAAAAAAAAAAAAAAAAGGTGAAGATAAAAAAGAGTGATCAATCTTAAAATCTTTAAAAATCCAAAATTGTGAGAGGGCAAACACACGCAAAGGTGGGAACTAGTCACTAGAGGAAGCATCCCCTGTTAATCGGACACAACCGCTTTGAGCTCTATCAATTGGTCAAGTAGATGGAGCATTCGTCATCATATTTAGTTAAAGGCATAACAGTTGATTTCAAACATGTCATCCAAGAAAATGACAAAATGTTAGTAAATATTTTCAAACAAGGTCATTATAACTATTATAGATTTTACCAAATAGTGACTGTTGACATCCCTGTAACATCAACGTGTGTGTGAGTAGCCTGCTTCAGTCGAAAAACTTATCGTGCTCGGAGTATGTTCTTATAATTAACAATGGAATTAGTTGGGCAATGTAAACACTATATGCAAGTTAAAGTGGAATATTACTAAACGCAATAGTCTGTAAAACAACCAAATATGAAACGGATCTGACAGACTCAGTGGTTCTTTTATTTTATGTTCACTGGGAAATATCGAGTCGACATATGAATTGAAATATCTGCTCCTACTTTGTATTGTTTTATGGACTTTTGATCTTAAATACTGTTTGTTATCTCCATATGTTTCATTTTATTTATTTTATTCGTGAATTCTTATGAGAAATGTGAAAACTTATGCTGCAAAACATAACAAAATCAATTCCATAAGGGTTTTTGTCTCAAGGTTGATTCAATGAAGCAAAAGCAGTGTCTCTTTTGTACGACCGATCTCGAAAACGAAAAAAAAATCTACACTTTGTGTATGAATTTCTTTCTTTCACATAATAATGATAATGTCACATGGTTGATTTGAAAGTACAACAGGGACTTATTAAATACCCTCGGCCATTGCACTGATCTGGTATCTAAGTTTCAGAGTTCAGTGTTTGTTCTGCTTACAATTTTTATATCTTACATTAATCGTTTATGCTTGTATAAGCATACCTGCTAGTTTAATTATATGCAATAATCTGATAAAATTACGTTTATGTTACGTTCTAAATCGACCTCGTTTCAATAGAAAGGTAACCTTTGAATTTCATTGTTGTAATATTTAGTTTCTTTTAATAAATTATGTCAGTCTCAGAGCTATAAATGATGAAAGACGTCATTTAAAAGGCGGAAAAAACAATAAATGCATTGATAAAATGATTAAGAGCTGCCATCAAAATATGATGGCACGCCATTTGTTTTCGGTGACTCCTTCACCTCTGGTTATACTGCAGGTGACCGTGTAACTATGACAAGCATATCCTTACTGTAGAACAAATAGGTTAAACCGAGTACACCTGGGCAAATTTAGGATGATAAATGGTTATTTACTAAAATATAGAATAGACGACGTCTATTAAAACTTCATTAATGATGAATTGTCCTTCGATTATGCAAACGTTTGTAACCTTACCAAAAATCATATCTGTATTTAAGAATTGCAGAACATCCTACCCCATTAACTGCAAAGAATCTGATAAATGTTGGTATTTTGGGTCCCGTTTAAGAATTTTTCAATCATATAAAGATATCACTATATACCAATGAAGGAATTTTCAGTGGGCAGTCAAGTCCATTGTGCATTGAGGGATCAACGTACGCGCATCGAGGGATCAACGGACGAAGTGTAAGCCAGGATTTGAACCTATGACCCACGGAAAGAGCAATCTACTGTGGCGGTCAACTTAAAGAAAAAGTAAAAAAAAAAACGGCAGGAACGAAAGGCAAAAATTTAAAGAAATGTAAACTATTTCTGAAAATGGACCTGTTTGATTTTCAAACAATCGATTTGCATGTAATTTGGATTTTAATTTTTTTTCAAAATACAATTTTATTTATAGATAATAATTTATTATTATATCTGATGTCTAATTAAAGATGACATTGTTCTGGGGTTTTAGTTTTACATTCAATTGATTACAATAGTTACTTGTATATTATATGAAATTTAAAGAACAAACCTTGATGCTTAATCAGAGTATTCCGTTTTCTAAATGGCAGAAGATAAACATCTTTTCCTTACTTATATATTTATGGAAATATGATAAATAACCCTCGTTAGTCGTTTACCGCATACTTATGTTTAATTGACAGAACTTCGTTCAAAATGCAAATGAGTGACATTTGTATCCTACCTATTGTGTAATTGGAATGATATAATTTATGCCTAACATTCTTGAATCGTAACGATGAAATGCAATATTTGTAAAAGAAATTAAAAAAAATTATATTCTGAACTAAATTTACCGCCGACGACATCCTTGACCATAGTATTTTTAGGAACGATAAAATTTGGAATCTATAAACAGAAAAATGACGTCATATTCTATATCTCTGGGATTTATATTATATATTTATTGATATAAATATTTATTTATTTTTTTTATTAATTCAAATTATTTCTCTCCCACAAAGTTAAACACCTTACACACATTATATGTAAATATATAAATGGATGTTAAAGTAATATTAATAAATCTTCCATATACACTCTTTAATTGTTCATTAGTTTGATCAATATTTCTTCAACTTCCTAAATTTAAATACTTTCATTTTTTAAAACATAGATATTGCTTTTCATTAAGATATGACTTTGATTAAAAGTCATAACACAGTTTATGTCATCAACGCCATTTTCAACTTTTAATTGAATCATATTAGGGATTCCGAGTTCACTTTCCGACACGAGTGCAAAATCTGTTAGGAATTTTAAGTATTTTTAAAAAATACTCAACAAGAGTCCTGAAACAAAATAAAAATTTAATTGTGAAGTTAACTTAGCCTTTCAGATACATGACTTTTGTCAAGATCATAACAAAACTTTAGGTTTGGATCGATTCCAATCAAATGTCTGAACTTGATTGCCTACTTTGAAGCAGACAGTGAATCAGACAAAGAGAGACGAAAAGCTAGAGACATTCAGAAAGACGGTGTGTTGAAACCATATTGTTCTCATCTTTTTCTGGAAACAAAATTTTCTGTTATCTTCTTCAAGACTTTCATGTGGAAAAAATACAAAGAATAAAATTTGTGCCCAGGTATCTTTATTATCTACTAGCTTGAATTTAAGTGACGGTACTTATCCTTGAATTTGATGTTCACAAGATATTTCTAAGCATTTATTCATAAACACTACTTCATAAGTTTTTGTTTGCAAAAGATCTTGGCATACACCCTTTTCTGAAATACCGTTTTGCTGCCCTCCATCGGAAAGTGGTGGAGTTTCAATATATAAAGAACTGTCAACAAACAATCGATTAATATATTAACAATCTACGTTTTACTATTAATAAAACAAAACAAAAATAAATACATCTTTATCTAATCTTTGATAATGCAATGTGTACTTTCAGGAATATGTCATACATGTATATAGAAATAATCAACACTCTGAAATGTCATACCAAAGGCCTCATCTAAAAAGAATGCAAATAGATTTACATAATGTGCCAATTACAGCAACCACACACACTTTTTTATGAACAAAAACTTACATGCCCTTTATCATTGCAATTTTGTATCATCATCTGGGAGGCAGTGCTAGGAATTTTTGTTTTCGCTAAATATTCAATATTCTGAACATATATCATGCTTCAAAATAAAAATGGAATCATTGACGTAAATTGATGCATAATATTAATCTATTTACTTTTTCATTCGTTTTTTTTTCTTTGTTGCCACTTTTCCCCTGTCTTATGTGTCAAAATAACGAATTCCTGGTTCCGTGATTCTAAAACAATTATTTATTGTTCAAGTTTAAACTGTTCATTTTTTTGTAAAATAATCAGTCATTTTTATTCCACATTTCCAAATTTAATATACATAGTTTACTTTTTCTCACGCGTAAAATACGAGTCATAATTTAACAAATGTGGTTTCTCTGATATACCATATCTCTACTTGATTCCAAATTTTCATGTAAGTAAACATACATTACGAGATCTAATAAATATTCCCCCTTCCTTTCTCTTTACTTTTCATAAATTAATAGCTTGGAAAACACACCTAGCCGTTTTATGCTATAAAACATTTAAGAATTGGTGTAAATTAAGTTGTTTTTCAAACTTTAAAGAACCTTATGAAAATTAAATTCTGATATAAAAGCATCAAAATCTATGACTTTTGAAAATAAAATTCTTAACGATAAGTGAAGAAAGGACATTTTACACTTTCTTTAATAAATTTTGATTTAAGACATTTTCATATTTTGTGATTAGCTATCTACAACGGGTTTAACATCATTCCGATTGAAAATTTAAGTATTCTAAAAGTGATATTCATACGATGCTGGAGTTCTGTATTGACAATATCCATGTACATGTAGTATTTGAAGGCTATGTTTTCAAACAATTTATAGAAATGTCTGTGAGCACCATTTGTTCTCCTTAATTAGATGACTTGTTTTGATATTCTTATGAAGCTAAATTGAATCGAAAGTTTTTAAGAGAAAAAATTTCATAGCTTTAATCGACACTAGATTAATTTAAAAAATAAATTCAAGAGGTGGGAATGGGATCAGGTTCCTTGGAGAATTAGGAGAACCCCTTTTTGACCGGCCACATCCGCCATGAGCCGTATGGATTGATCGCGTAGACGGATAATTCCGAGGTCAATTCAAAATAAAAACCCAGTTCTAACAATTGGTATGAACCAGTTGAGCCAAAATACGACCCAGTTATATTCTATATTTGCTAACGATGTCATTATAACGACCATAAAGTTTACGAAATGCTGAATTTAAACGAGATTGTTGAAAACCTAACAACATCAACTTATCAGTGAGTAGCATGTCTCGATTGAACATTAAAGTATAAGTCACATTATCCAACGATGGGGTATACGATGAGAAACCGATGCGTTTTTTGATGAAAATGGCGTGGTTGCCGGCCGGGCACCACTAGTGATCGGACGGTGACTGACTCTTTTTTGCGAATCGGTGGGGTCATCGGTAGGAAGTAATTGGTAGTTAAAATTCAGCGATGTCTCCAACGATGCCTCACATCGCTCCTCATCGGCAATCAATCATTAACGCATCTTTCAAGGTTCGGCCGATGTATGGCCGAGCATCCTCCAATATCTGTTGAATCTGAGGTCATCGGGAGGTTGAGTGGTGTTCAACAGATAACGACCGATCATCGGTCGATGTTCGACCAAACATTGGCCCGTAGTCGACCGATGTACGAACGATGTTCACCAATGTATGAGCGATGTAATATACATCGGGCGATTATCCTGGAACATCGTTTAATGATTAGCAATGCTTCGCTGAACCCTTGTAAGTCCGGCCGGCAACCACGCAATTTTTCTCATAAAAGGCATTGATTACCCATCATATGCACATCGCTGGATAATGTGACTGATTCTGTAAGGACTACTAAGCTGATGTGGACCGATGTTAGGGCATCGTTAACACCACGGATTACCAACGATTACCACCGGTCTACGGCTATCGGCCGGGAAATGTGACCTAGGCATTAATCGTAGTCAGAGCAAGTTCTTGATTAGACAATAAGTTAGTGGAATATGACTGTACATGTATACACAAGGGAAGCTGACAATAGAAAAACTGAAGCATCTAGCTTGTTATTCAAATATAAAACTGCATCTTCATCTTCTATAGTCAGCAAAACATACAAATATGAAACAGATATGGCAGTCTCTGTGGTGTCCTTTATCTCAAGTTTACTGGGATACATCGAGTGGACAAAGGAATTAAAATAACTATTCTTAATATCGTCGATATACTAGTATCTCAATGTCGAATTGAAAGCCACAGCAAGCGTTTTCCTTTCATATACATCTTTTGGAATATTGTTGGGCACTAATTGTGCTCTTTTATACGCTGCCCTCTACGAAACAAAATTTATTTTAAAACTTAATTTAAAAAAAGTCTAGATTTAGTAGAATGAACTTTAGTTTTAACAAATAAAAATTTGTAAGAATAAAACTGAAAATATCAAAGCTAGAAAATTACAGGTTGTGAAAAAATATAATTGTTAAGAATATATATTTTTTTGGGGGGTGGGGAGGTTGCATCATCCCACGATCATCATTTTAATCATATACGTACATGAATCTACAATTGGTAATGATGGTATTCTAAATACTAGTAGTATGACGCCTTTAAACTAATATATGCAGATAATTGCCATCATTTTCTTAAAATATGTCATATAAAATTGTTTATTCAGATGAAATTAGTGTGTGGTTGCTTTAGCAAACAAGAGGCCTGAGTGCCTTTTCGGTTACCTGATTAATGTTATCACTGTAAGGGATCCATAAAATGAAATATGGAGACTACCAATGATCTTTTAATATACATTTCACAGTGATTAATCAATATAAGAAAAAGCAAAGAGAACGACTTAATCTTTTATAGGACTCAACGCTTATTACAGTCGATTAAGAACTTGACTGCTTGAGATTTTGAAGTAAAGTACAAGATTTGTTTTTAAGACGGCACTTAATTTGGAGATTTTGGCCCCGGCCATCATGCCCCAGGAGTTAGGGGGTAGAGACAATGAAATTCATAATTTTTATACATGCATACGTTGAAAACCCACAAATAGAAATATAAATGATTGATTAACATTTAAGACTACCTTTAAAATAAAGACCCATTTCAAAAGGTCAGGAACATGAAAAGACATTCATATTTTATGCAGTGTTTAATTATTGTTCCCTTTAAATACTAAGAAAATACTTTTTTGCAGAAATTTATAATGAACGAAAATGTAAGAAGACACTAAATTTTGCAAATTTATGAAGAACAATGTGACTTCAAACACTGCAACGTAATTTTAATTGAGCAGTTAACACATAAACTGTATCAATTATGAAATGATTGCGAATTAATAGGTTTTATTCACAACATGCCCTTTCCAAATTTGAAAGAATAAAATTAAACGAAACATCAAGTTTACATGAAAACTCTTAAATAACAAAGTAATTATCAGTGGTGAATTATAAGAGTTCTAAATTCTCTTTTCTTAACTATTCTCTTTGCAATAAACTGTATTCCAACGTGTTGGCCATGGTGTAACTTACGACT